TTATGAGTAGGCATCATAACTTGAGTCGGTTCTCCTATTTAATGCAACAACGACCACCCGACACCATTTTAATGATTTCATCTTTAAGAAATTAAAAGTACCCCCAATCCGGACTTGCTCACATTTAAGATTTATTCCATAAAATTTTAATAATAGAAATTATGAAATTATAAATTAAAGCAAGTCAAATTGAATCTTTTAATAAAAGAATTAATTTTTTTCAGTGTGTCACCCCCAAAATATGAGTAATAATGTTTGATGACGGTAGTATTTGGCGGTGGAATTGATTTTGGTAATAAGGTGAGCTGCGACACGCATAAAAAAGAAGAAATAGAGAAGGAATGTGCTCAAAGGCGGCTCATTTTGCATGGGATAACTCATAACCCACTAACAAATCATCTCTTCATACCAATCCCATTTTTCTTCTTCTTTTTTCAATAATTATACTCCTTTAGCCATCATCTCCGCTTCGAATTCTGTAACCATGGAGATACAGGCTAATAAACCGGCGGGGAATGGTACGGTGGCCGGAGGTTTGAGTCCACTGAGTGAAACACTGTGGAGAGAGAAGACCAACGCCGAGTTCGTCGGAGACGTATCCGCCAGGCTCACATGGAAGGACCTGACGGCAGGGTATTAAATAACGTTCCGAAAACGTGATAGCGGCCGTGATATTACGTTCGCGCCACCGTCCGAAACCGTTATTTATGGTTTTCGCAGTGGGTCACGGATTCACACTGGTCGTGGTCGATTTCGCCCGTAATTTAACGGGAAACAGACGATTGCGTCGAAAACGGGACGCAATCACCGTTATTCAACCGTGATTTCAATTTTCAACCGTAATTTTTCTTTGTTTCAAAAAATGAAAGGCCGGGAGGAGGAAGGGGGAGTTAGAGTGAAATCAGATTTTTGTTTTGTTTCAAACAATAAAATCGGGGAGGAAGGGGAGGAGGATTAGAAAGATCGACGAACCTGAGGAAGTGGTTGGAAGGAAAGCAATTGAGCTAGACTGCTGATCTTCTTGATTAATCTTCCCCTGAAAAATATATTGTAATCGCTGGTGAAAATAAACATGCATGAGGGAGGGAGAGGAGGAAGAGGGAGAGTAAAAGCATAAAGATGAAGGGGAGGAGGAAGCGGATGGTTAAAGTAAAAATATCGGGGAAAGAGGGGTTTTATTTCTTTTTTTTAATAATTTTTAAAATATAATTTTAAAGGATATATTAATATAACATCCCTCCAACTTTTAGAATTTATAATTTAATCCCTAATTTAAAATATAAACTTTAATTTTTATTTAATTTAGTCTTAATCTTAGTAATCTAAATTTCTGTCATTTAAGTTTTATAATTTTATTTTAATTATATTTAATTTAGTTATTTTAGGGTAAGTTGTGCGATATTTAAAAAAATTCACGATCGCGATATCTGTAATGACCGCAATAACATCCGTTATGTCCGCTACCGTGATAAACGCGACGCGACTGAAAACGTGACATTTAAAAACCTTCCTGACGGTAATGGTGACTCTCAGCAACGGGAACACCCAGAAGGTTTTGGAAGGGCTCATCGGCTACGCCGAGCCAGGCACTCTCACCGCCTTAATGGGCCCTTCCGGCTGCGGGAAGTCCACGCTTCTTGATGCCCTCTCCGGTAGTTTGGCTGCCAACGCTTTTCTCTCCGGAACCATTCTTCTCAATGGTCGTAAAACCAAGCTCTCTTTCGGAACAGCTGCCTACGTGACTCAAGATGACAACTTGATCGGCACGCTTACTGTTCGGGAAACGATTTCCTACTCCGCTCGACTCCGGCTCCCTGATGCCTTGGTCGGCGAAACGGGCGCTTGTCGAAAGTACCATCATCGAGATGGGGCTCCAAGATTGCGCTGATACTGTTGTTGGGAACTGGCATTTGCGTGGGATCAGTGGAGGAGAAAAGAGGAGGGTCAGCATTGCTCTTGAAATCTTGATGAGGCCCAGATTGCTTTTCCTTGATGAACCAACCAGTGGACTTGACAGGTTATCTTCACATCCATGCTTTTGTTTTCGTCCCTTAAAATCTTATAAATCCGTTAACAATTTTACGTGTCCGTCCTCGGTTTTAAGAACAGTTTCTGACTTGATATTGCATATGGGCAGTGCTTCTGCATTTTTTGTAACCCAGACTTTACGTGGCCTGTCAAGAGATGGTAGAACCGTGATAGCCTCGGTTCATCAGCCCAGCAGTGAAGTGTTTGAGCTATTTGATCACTTATATTTGCTCTCTGAAGGTAAAACCATTTATTTCGGCCAGGCTTCCGACGCATACGAGGCAAGTGCCTGCCTTCTCATCCTTTTCTTTCATTACACTTCATTTTCATATTCAATTCTATGTGTGTATGCATGTAATGTTTCTTGGATTGTGAATGCAGTTCTTTGCACAAGCTGGATTTCCATGCCCTGCATTGAGAAATCCATCAGATCATTTTCTCAGATGCATCAACTCTGACTTTGATAAAGTTAAGGCTACTCTAAAAGGATCAATGAAATTAAGGGTATCCACTTCATTCCCCTTTGTTTAATCTTCCTTCATACTTCGCCCTGCATTTGTATAAGAATAAAAACACATTGCTTTCACTGTAATCAGTTTGAGGCAAGTGATGATCCGCTGGAGAAGATAACAGCCGCCGAAGCTATCCGAGCTCTTATTAGTTTCTATCGCACATCGCAGCAATGTTATGCTGCAAAGGAAAAGCTCGATGAGATATCCCAATTTGTAAGTGCTTTCACCAGCTGATCTTCTGTTGTAATCTTAATCCTCAATAAATGAATTGCACTTACCACCACTTTCCGTATGTTGCAGAAAGGAACCGTGCTAGATTCTGGGGGCAGTCAAGCTAGTTTCTTGATGCAGTCTTATACGTTAACCAAGCGTTCGTTCGTGAACATGTCTCGGGACTTCGGCTATTATTGGCTAAGGCTGCTGATATATGTTGTAGTCACCATTTGCATTGGAACCATTTATTTCAATGTTGGAACCAGCTACAATGCCATCTTGGTATTCCTGCTATTTATCTCTCATAAAAACACTAGTCCAAAAGTTTTATTTGGAAGTATCATGTATAAGATTGTATATTTTGTGGAACAGGCAAGGGGATCATGTGCTTCTTTCGTTTTCGGATTTGTCACGTTCATGTCCGATCGGTGGGTTCCCTTCCTTTGTAGAGGACATGAAGGTAAGATAAGAACTCAACTTACCGGCCATGAAGGTGCCGATATATTTTGACTGTTCATTTTTTGCTGGTTTTCCAAAGGGAGAGGTTAAATGGCACTATGGTGTAACTGCATTTGTAATAGGGAACACACTCTCTGCTATGCCATTCCTCATTATGATAACCTTCATCTCTGGGACTATTTGTTACTTCATGGTTCATCTTCACCCGGGATTTCAGCATTATTTGTTCTTCGTCTTGTGCCTTTACGCAAGTGTTACGGTGGTCGAGAGCTTGATGATGGTGATCGCCAGTATCGTCCCCAATTTCCTCATGGGGATCATCATAGGAGCAGGGATTCAGGTTTCTTTCTCTGCAGCCATATTCTGAATTATTCCTATAGTATGCATAGTCTATGCTGCTCCTTCCACTCTCCATTTTTCTTAAAATCCGACACATATCTATGTCGTCCAACACATACATATGTTCACACTAGCTAGTTCGACTCCCTTTCAATGACTGATATCGCTAACCGGTTGTCTTTGTCCCAGGGAATATTCATGCTTGTTTCTGGCTTCTTCAGGCTCCCAAATGACATCCCAAAACCTGTGTGGCGTTAGCCAATGTCATACATCAGCTTCCATTTCTGGGCTTTACAGGTGATGAAACATGAAAAATTAAAAACATTCGCAGAACGATGCCGTATCGGCTCATCATCAAGGACTAAAAGACGAGACAACGCATTTTTTTTTGTTCTGTTTCAGGGACAATACCAAAATGATCTGAGGGGCTTGTTGTTTGATAACCAATCACCAGATCTTCCCAAGATTCCGGGGGAATACATCCTGGAAAATGTGTTCCAAATCAATGTGGGACGGTCGAAATGGATCGATCTGAGCGTGATATTCAGCATGATCGTAATCTACCGCATCGTGTTCTTCTTAATGATAAAGATCAGCGAGGATGTTACTCCTTGGATCAGGGGTTTGGTGGCTAGGAGAAGGATGCAACAGAAGAATGCAACTCTAAATATGACGGTTGCACCGGACCGTCTCTTGCAATCGCCTTCGTTGAGGACTTACATCGGAAATCGAGTGAAGGAGCAGCTAAAAGGTAGAGACATGGTTTTGATGCGAATGCAATGCAAGAAAACTCGATTTTTCGACGCCATCATCACAAAATGTAATACATTAAAATCAGTGATTTAGTTGCTTGATCTAGCTATAAAGCATTTTCTTTCACAAAATGTAATACATATATACATGCACAAATCTGTATTATGCTTTTGAAGTTAATATCTTTATATAAATATATTTTACAGAAGTGAACCATGGAAAGATACAAGCATCGTGATAAACTGCCACCACTCATTGCTTTCATTCTACTAAAATCGTATATCTGTTTTGATTCAAATTGTTCAAGAGACCCATCACCATTTGATAGGCTCCGTTCTAGTCGAATCGGGTCGTGATGTTATGACCGAATCTATGTATTTTTGTGGTCTCATATAACTTTTGTTTTTGTTGAAATCTTTTACTCTTATCTTAATAATTAAAATTAAAAAAATTCTTAATTTACTTGTTGAGCTTTCAATTTGTTTTTATTTTGATCGTTTCACCGTTAAATATTTAATGGTATTATGATTGAGCGTATGTCTTTTAAAAATTATAAATGACCCTAAAACTTTTTTTTTAAAATCTTTAATTTCAAATTTCCTTTGATTTCTCGATGATGAAATATCTATTTTTAAACCTCAATCGTAAAAAGAGAGAGGAAATGACCTACTTATCTTGATTTCCTTTTGACTAATGATGGATATTATAGGTCAGAGTGATTTTAAGTTTTTTTTTGTTGAGTTTCATGAGTTTTAATAGAAATTTTAAGAAAATCTAAACTAAAAGAATGATAGAATATAATGAATTAAATTCGTCAGTGTTTTGAGTGGTCGAAAAAGACGTTGAAGGATGGTGATGTCAATGCTAATGTGACACAGAGAAGAGACTACAAAATTTCCTTCTTTTTGACGAAGAAGATAAAATAAAAAGCAAAAAAAAAAACATGAATGATGCACGTCCTAAGGGATTGTCATGTGGCTCGCTTGATTTGGACATAACTAATTCCAAATGACCAAGCTACGATATTTTTCTCACTTCCCCTTTTGGATTGGTTACATTACATCCTCACTAATATTGCAGGATTGAACACCATTGACTATGATTGGAAGCAACTCTTTGGCATTATTATTTGGCGCTTGTGGAAGAATATAAACTGCTTCATTTTTAGAGGAAAAGTTTGGTCCTCTACGACGACCATTCATTCAGCCAAAGCCTGGGCTCATGTTATAAGAAGCACTTGCAGAAGTTACTCAGGTTCCATGCACCGTAGGAAGGCCACCTATTGTTGGAGAGTGCCTGAAACTAATAGCTTTACGCTCAACACGGATGGAGCCATGGATCCTGCAACCAAGGCAGTTGCGTGTGGGGGAGTTATCCGGAATAACAACAGAGACAGGATCACAAGATTCTGCAGGAATATTGGACATTGCCTAGTTCTCCAAGAGGAGCCGTGGGGAGTCCTGGATGGGCTCGAGTTAGCTTTGTCCCTTGGTGTTAATTAGATTACGGTGGAAATATTGAAAATTCTAATGCACCAAAAGTGCATGTTGAAAAAAAAAAGAATAAAAATTGTCAAAAAAAAAAAGGGAGCACCGATAGTTTGCAGCAGTTTTTTGTTGAATTTTGATAATAGAAAAATTGCAAATTTAGTCCATGCAGTTTAGGGTATTTATAAGATTAGTCCTTAAGCTTCAACTATAAATACCCTAACCCATTTAGCTTCAAAATCATCTCAAATCATTATAGTTTTCTCCCAATACTAGAAAATTTAGAGAGTTTTCTTAAGAGTTGTTTTCTCCTTTTTTATCAAGAGAGAATTGTTATTGTTTTCTCCTTGTTAGATCGAGAGAAGTTGTAATTCCTATTTTCTCATAGTGAAATTCTTCTACCTTTGCTCGTGGTTTTTACCCTATATTATTTAGGGGTTTTCCACGTAAAATTTGTTTCTTTTTTATCTTTATTTTTATTTTCTCAAATTATCAGTTGTGATATTGCTCTATTCGATAGCCGTATTTTGCAACAATTGGTATCAAGAGCCAGATTTGAGTGTGTAATATCTACTTATTGTCTTTATGGATCCTCCAACATAAAAAAATAAGAAGGTATTACCCATTATTTGAAGGTTCAAGAGAACTATTCACGACAGTGAAATAGTGTGAGCTATCCGTAATAGAAACTATGACAACAAAATTTGATATTGAAAAGTTCAATGGGAGAAATTTCTCATTGTGGAAATTGAAGATGAATGTCATCCTGAGGAAAGACGGTTGTCTTGCAACTATCAGTGAAAGGCCGATAGATTTCACAGATTACAACAAATGGATCGAAATAGACGGGAATACTATAGCAAACTTTCATCTAGCATTAGTAGATGAAGTATTGCCAAGCATCGAGGAGAAGAAAACATCTAAGGAGATATGGGATCATCTGACCAAATTGTACAAGGCCACATCGTTGCACAATAAAATTTTTCTTAAGAGGAAATTGTACACTCTACGGATTCCAGAATCTACTTCAGTGACAGAGCACTTATACACGTTGAACACTTTATTTTCTCAGCTTACATCCTTAAGATGTACAATAGGACAACAAGAACGTGCTGAACTTCTAGTTCAAAGTCTACCTGATTCGTATGATCAACTCATCATCAACTTGAAAAACAGTAATGTCACAAGTCTAGTCTTCGATGACGTTGCAGCTGCTGTTCTACAAGAAGAAAATTGGTGCAAGAACAAGGAAGACAGATAAGTAAATCTGCAACAAGCAGAAGCGTTGACAACGATGAGAGGAAGATCAACAGAACATGGCCAAAGCAGCAGCCACAAACATGGTAGATCAAAGTCGAGAAGAAAAAATATTTAAAGTGCTACAACTGTTGAAAGAAGGGTCACTTGAAGAAGGACTGTTAGAGTTTAGGTAAAAACTCCAATCCACAAGGCAATAAACATCTCAGATGCTTCTGCGTGGAGATGGCGATGCAAGAAGAAATTGAAGCCCTTCATAAAAATAATACATGGGACCTTGTGCCACTACAACAAGGAAGGAAGCCAATTGGTAACAAATGGGTCTTCAAAATCAAGCGAAATAGTAACGATCAAGTGGAGAGGTATCGTGCAAGACTGGTGGTCAAAGGATATGCTCAAAAAGAAGGTATTGATTTTAATGAAATCTTTTCTCCTGTGGTTTGACTAACAATAGTTCGAGTAGTCTTGGCAATGTGTGCTACATTGAACTTACATCTAGAGCAGCTAGATGTTAAAACAACTTTTCTTAATGGAAATCTTGAAGAAGAGATTTATATGCTCCAACCTGAAGGTTTTAAAGAAAAAGAAAAGAAGAACTTGCTTTGTAGGTTGAGCAAATCTCTGTATGGTCTAAAGAAGGCGCCGAGGTGTTGGTATAAGAAATTTGATTCCTTCATTATGTGCCTTGGATACAATAGACTTAATGCAGACCCTTGTGCTTATTTCAAGAGGTTTGGTGATAACGATTTTGTTATATTGTTGTTGTATGTGGATGACATGTTGGTTGCAAGACCCAACAAAGATCATATTGATGAATTGAAGGCACAACTAGCTAGGGAATTTGAAAGGAAGGAATTGGGATCAGCAAACAAGATTCTAGGGATACAAATTCACCGAGACATAAGTAATAGGAAGATTTGGCTTTCATAAAAGAATTACTTAAAGAAGATCTTGTCACGATTCAACATGCAAGATTGTAAGCCAATTTCTACCCCTCTTCCTATTAACTTCAAATTATCCTCCAGTATGAGTCCTAGCAGTGAAGAACAGAGGATGGAGATGTCTCGAGTACCGTATGCATCGACAGTGGGAAGTTTAATGTTCGCTATGATATGCACAAGACTAGACATTGCACAAGCAGTGGGAGTGGTTAGTCGGTACATGGAGAATCCAGGCAAAGAGCATTGGAATACAATAAAGAGGATCTTGAGATACATCAAAGGGACCTCAAATTTTGCACTATGTTACAGAGGATCAAATTTACTTATCAATGGGTATGTTGATTTTGACTATGCAAGGGATTTGAATAAAAGCAAATCTACTACAGGATATGTGTTCAAAGTTGCTGGTGGAGCTGTAAGTTAGGTTTCAAAATTGCAGTCAGTTGTGGCTACATCCACAACAGAGACATAATATGTAGCAAATACACAAGGCAAAAAAGAAGCAATTGTAACATCCTCAATACCGGGTTAGTGATTAAATTATAAAGTTTCAGAATTTGGTGATTAAAGTAGAATAATTGAATAGTTTAATGAGTTATATGAGAAATGTTGTGTAGGATTGAAGTGTAAAGAAGAAGAAAGTGAAAGACAAAACAATCTTTTTCAAAGGGAAATAATTTAATTTGGGCTATGGTTATATTAACCCACGTGGAAGGCAATGAAGCTAAAAATTTAAGCTTCCAGAGATATCTTCTTCTTCTCTTCAAATGTGAGGACCCCAAAGTAAAGGCAAGTTTCATTGTTAATTGATTATTAGTTGAAATTCAAGTTGTTTTTTGATTATTAGGTGATAATTAAGTTTAAGGAAAGCTTAATTTGTTCTAAAACAACAAGATGAGGATAATAGGAAGGATTAAAGAAAGGAAGTGGAAAAGTGAAATCTTGATAGGAAAATATTAAGTAGATTTCAAGCTTAAATTTGACTTGTCATTAGTGGAATTAAGGAATATGAAAGGTTAGAATGGAATTAGAACATGTTGGAAATTGGATGTGATTCTTAAATGTCATATAAAGGATAGGATGTGGAGTTTAAAGAAGTGATTATTGAGTAGGAATGAGTGTAAGTATATGCATGCAAGTTAAGGATATTAAAGGAGGTGAAATATGAAGAGTTGAGCTGAAAAGAGAGTGATTTTCGTGCTAAAAATGGCATTTCTGGGCTAGGGGTTTTAGTATCCATTCAACAGGTACCGATACCCTCTTAAATGAAAAGAATAACATAATGTAATTAGGGTACCGATACCCTCTTGAATGAAAAATTAACAGAATGCGGTGAGGCTACCGATACCCTAAGAAGGGTATCGATACCCCCTAAAGGAAACATAGAATATTGATTCCTTAAATTCGTTTAAGTTATTAGAAGCAAGTTACAAGGTTTAGGTATCTGATAATCATCTTGAAAATTTTATTTATGTAGATACAGAGCCTAAACAAGTTCCGGAACAATTGCCTAGTAAGATCGATCGGGGGAAAAACAAAGAGATATAGGTGAGTACATATTAGAGATATAGTTCAAAGGAATTAAGACTTGTGATAAGTCTATTTCCTAGATTAATTTCATAGTATGGTAGCTCTGAACATGCATACATTATAGTCTTTATTAAACATGCATAAGTTATATATATTGACATATGATTCGATATATGATCCATGTGAATGTACTCAAATACTTATGTTACATGATATGAGATTAATGGTTATATGCATATGGGAAATGTGAGAGAGCCAATGATATATGTGATTACAAGGGAAATGATACAAGTACATAGTTATATGAAATATAATATTAATGCCCATGTGATGTAATGTGAGAGCTATAGGTATAGTTGGCATGCCAAGAGTTGAGGGTTTTATAGGTCCTTCGGGACAACTCATAGGTCATTCGGGACATACTCACAGGTCCTTCGGGACAAATTTCATATGCCACTCAGTGGGAATTATACGAGCTGTGGTGATAGCAGATGTGCACAACCTCTATGTACTCGAATACCTTAAGTTCTCAGTATATACATGTGCCTATAAATAATATGGAAAAATGTGTGTATTGCATTATAGGTTATCATACTAATATTGTTCATAGCGAATCATATGAATGAAATAAAATTGTGAATGATAATGATGATTTTATATGAATAACATGTCACATATTCATATACATAGGAAATGCATTATTATAGATTTATGCCTCACTAAGTCTATGACTTAACGTGTAAGTGATTTACACGTAGGTATAGAAAAGCAAGAAGACCGGTCTGAGGAGCAGCATATCCTCATTTGAAGATCAGATCAGAAGCACCTTACATATTATGTTAGTTTATATTTTATATGTGTTGGCATGTAAATAGAGTCATATAGTATGCACGCTTTGATTGAGGTGTAATGTTTTGAACTTGGTTATGTAAATATAGTTTTGTGTTAATGAAAGTTTTAAATTTTATGATGGTTTTATAAATGCACAACCTTTGAAAAGTCAATGTGACACCTCGAATTCGTATTCGGGTTGGATACATGTTAGGGTGTTACATTTAATGGTATCAGAGTTACGATTTACTCGATTCTCGGCATAAACCGAAGTCCAAAGTGCCTTAAAAAGTGTACATGCCAACATAGTAGTAAGAACTTCTACTGATAAGAGTAATGAGTATGTTATTTAGCTAATATAGATAATTGATTATGTTTTATTAGATGTTCGGACAAGATAGCTCCCGAAGTGAAACATGAGACTAGATATTAGCTGAGAGCAGTAATTCACCTGCC